GTCTAATATTTTAATGTGTTTGATGATGTGAAACATTTAAGTGTGACAAACACAAAAAAAGAGGAAATCAGGAAGGGGGCCACCACTTTTTTACACCACTGTACTGTGCCAACTATACATACTTCCCATTTCCCTAGCAGAACTTAAATAAGTTAGTGGTGAATCAAGATTTATTTCCACAGTACTGTGTATATTTTTTCTAATGCACCTTTGAATCTTATAGTGAGTGGAATGATTGACTTACAGGACCGTCTATATTTTAGACAAGCAAATGGCCACATAATGGTGCAATGAGCATAAAAGTGATGTTAGCCATAAGCTAAAGCCATCTCAGTAACCAACTCTGATTTCATCCGAGTATGTATTGAACATTCTCGGGGATCATTAAACTAGATGATCCTCAGTGGTTACATTACTCCTGATGAGCGGTGACCTCGGCCTCTGACAGCAGCATACACAGCATTTGTGATAGTGATGCCGCACTCATGTCATAATGCACCGTAACACACACACATGTACCCGCTCCTCATGTCAACTCATAATTTATCATCCCATTTGAAAAATCTCAGATAATTAATCCATAATGTTAGATTAAAGGTGAATTTAATGGTGAATTATCAGGAGCACAACACGTGAAATGATGGATTAAAAGATGAATGTGCATGAATACACAAATGAGGGCATGAATAAAAAATGGTAAACAAATAAGCTGAAGGATGGAGCGGACTGGGAGGAGTGAGAACAATCGACCAGCAATCTCTGTGGGCTCCTTTTAGTCATCGAGCTTTGTTTCCTCCTCTTTTCTAAATGAGTTCCTTTAATCTGTCACTCGCTCCCTTGTGCTTTTGTTCTCCTCTTTATTTCAGTGGCAGAGCTCATTTCAGCAGGGTGATCTGATCAATAATTACTATACAGGCTACACACACAACAGTCACACAAAGATATACATATATAGTACTCCATAGGTAGCGAATACACAGCCTCAAAAGCAGTAGAGACTTATTTATCCATCCATTGTCTATGCTAACCAGCACCCCCACCCATTCTAGGCCCCCACTGATCATATGTAGGCAGTTTATTAAAACTAAATTTTAACTGAATTTAATTAAATATGATTTTTATACTTGTCTATGGTGATCCTTGACTATAGCTATTTCTTTCATTGTTTTCACATTGATGGGATTTTTTTGTCCAATTTGAACCAAATTCTTCACTATTTTTCTCTTTCTGTAACTTATAGTTATGTTCATAGTGTTTTTTTTACTCCTGCTGTACTTGATTGCACTTGAAAACAAATCCACCATCACAGGTGGAGTCAGGCTGGCTGATGATGTAATGATTCAGCTTTTCAGGTGGCAAACTTCTTATAAATTCGATTCTGCTGTGATTCACACAGCAGTGTTGTGCTACTGGTCCTTAGATTGACCGTTGAGGTGTGGAAGTAAGAAGTCAGAATTGATTGCCGGAGGTTTCTTCCCATTATTTCCTCTTACTGACGCCAACACGCTTGCTCATAGAGGGTAAGCTGATGGTTGCTTTTTTTTTGTGTGTTATTGTAGCATCTTTATCTTACATCATAAAGTGCCTTGAGGTAACTGTTGTTGTGATTTGGCGCTATATAGATGAAACTAAATAATATAAAACAAACACAATGGAAAACTATCCAGTGTGTACCCGCTGTCTGTGCTTCTCAGGGCTGCTTTTTCATAATTAGATGCTATCTTTGTGTCTCTTTTGCATCATGGTATCTTTTTGGAGGAATGCATGCATGCTAGATGAATTCTCCCAGTCAGTTTCTCTCAGCAGCTAGAGAACTTTGTGTGCAAACACTAGTGGTCAACCATAAATTCTATTTAAGCAGTTCTAGATGCAGCAAACGGATGTAGGGCGTCAGGTTTTGTGATCCCTGGATCTCATCTCTAGTTTTTGCAGGTGATGTGGCTCTGTTGGTTTATCCTGTAGCTTGCACTGGGGTGGTTGGTCAGGGACCCTAAGCATGAACTTTATTAAGAACAAGTTATCATACTCCATCTTTCCTGTCCAGTCATCTGTTAATGATAGTGATGTAGGTAGTCAAAAGGTAGAATATGTCAACAAGCCCAACTCCACCCTTCAAAACGTAGCTGGTGTCTAGTTTTCCACTTTTGTCCTGCTGAGACAGTCTGTCCCAGGACTATCCTGCTGCCAAGGTCGTAGTGCTTAACAACTGCACCAAATTGCTGTCTTCCCCATGCATAAAAGTATGAATGCAAAATGCATTTGCTGCCATTCTATTATGAACCAACTCTCTCTCTCTCACACACACACACACACACACACACACACACACACACACACACACACACACACACACACACACACACACACAAACACCCCATTTGTCATCACTGTCATTTCACTGTGGCTTTGTTTTTGGGAGTCAGTTTGGAAATGTCAACTTTTTTGAGATTTATTTTGTTGCTGCCACACGTCAGAGAAATTAATAATCAGTCTATAAGTTCTGACCCAAATCATCAGTCACCTGTGTTACACATGAACATGCACACGCACACACACACACACACACACACACGTGCCCACACATTATTTCCTCATCATGCATGCATCTTTCTCTGTGAAAATTACACGTGCACATTTGAGTATCAGCCCAATGAACTTTTTTCCCGTTTTTCCTGTGTTATGAAAATGTCATGGAGTCTGATTAAAGCAATGGTTCATCAACTTTTCACTGCTGTGCTCACCCCACGCCACATACAACCACACACAAACACAACCACACACACACACACGCGCGCCATAAACAAAGTAGTTGGCATTTCCTAATTTCGAGGGTGATGTTAACTTCGCTGCAGAACCTTTTGTTTAGTTGATTTGTGGTAATGCAAAAAAACCTGCGCGTGTGCGTGCACTGACTGCGTCTCAGGCTCCATGTGAAATAATAGTGTTCTCAGGTCTGTGGATGGAGTGAACAATACTTAATAGGCCCATGATAATAAGTATTAAAATCAGCGGACCTGAAAGAAAACGTGATGGGACACTTAATTAGGAGAGAAAGATGGAGAAAAACAGATAGCGGACAGTGGTACATGTAGATATAAAATGAAGATGGCTGAGCAAGAGAAGCAAGAAAAACCTCTTGAATGGGTTTAAAAACACCATGATGAAAGAGATAGAGGGTAATAGATGGACTGTGTGTGTGTGTGTGTGTGTGTGTATTAAGTTACAAAGAGAGACTGAGATGGATCAGGAAAAAGAGAGAAATACTTTGCACTCTAATTCTCATCTCTCTCGCTGTGTTGTATTGAAAATAGGTGGGGGGCTGGCCGTAATCATGCGCTCCCTGCTGATTTTTTTTGTACTCTCTGATCTCTCTTTCTCCATGTCTATCTTGCACGCACACACAAACACACGGTGTAGTGGGCCCGCTATTTCAGGATCTCATCATTAGGCACCCTGGCATTGTAATCATCACCTCCTCTTCAATCTTTTTCTTTTTCATTGAACATCAGCGCATTTTGGACAAACAAGTTTGAAATGATAAATAACCCTTTGAATTACTTGATTTAGAGCTCCTGATATAAACAGAATACGATTAAAATGAAAGTCTCTGGGTTGATGGAAGATCATTCTTTTTTCGTACTAGGTTGTAGCAGGTTGCCATTTTGTCTTCACACCAAAAGTCAGTGCAGGTCTGTTACAGGCATCGAAATCATTTTAGATAAATAGTGAATTGGAGTGAAAGTTCTGATTCATACTTGGATTTTTCTTCAGCATCGATGAGTATCAGAAAACATGAAAAAAAAATGACCACGGGTCAGTTCACCTGATTGCCCGTTATAAATACCATAAGACATAAATTAGCAAACAGATAGTATTGGCTAATAATCTCTGTTGGGGTGGGTTCTGTTACTTGGTTATCATCGTATGCCAAAATGGAATTGTGTTGGGATTTTGCTGACATTTGTGTTACTATTTCAGAACTTGTAACTGACAAAAATCGTTGTAAAGGTGTTAAGATTATGTTAAAGTTTCAATTTTGATATAAAAATTCTAATTTTGTCACAGCTGTTTAGTGAGGCAGCTGGGTTTGTTTTTTTCAAATATTTGCAATTGAGCTATAAAAACAATGGGACAAGTATTTAAAGCTACATTTTGTAATTACTCTTTGTAGAACTCCACAAAAGCTTTCACCACCAGAGGGAAGCATTTTACTGGTTGGTGTGTTGAATTGTTTGTCTGATGTGTACTGCTGCCTTTGGTATTTCCTTTTAACCCTTTTAGTTAACCTTTATAGGACCTATAACTGAAGTGTGTTCTAAATGAAGTTGTGCCTACAATGTCTTTCATTTCAGTGTTTTGCAGAGACGTGTCAATTACCAAGTGTATTTATCCAAAAATAGCAGCTCTGTTGTGTTGTCAGACTTTATTGTGGTGCAGATGTTCTGTCATTTGTTTAGGAGACAAACATAATGAGGAGTATCTGATGCATAATTATGCAGCTGTGGTATGTTTATGTAGTGTCAGAGATGTACCAAAAGCTGTCTGGAACGTGTTCATTAAAGAGTTCACAACTACAGAAAAGCAACAGCAAGTGGATATTTCACACACACAGTTTTTCTAGGACCAAGTTGTACTAAGATATACTTTGTTAATCTGAAAGGTTCGGAAAATTTTTGACAACGGTTTTGAAATTCCATGATGTTCCTGTCGACTTCTTTCCTAGTTTGTTAAATGGGAGGGGAAAATCATTCTAATTAATCAGCAACTCTAAAACATAGAAAGCACTAAGAAAGGAGTCAAAACTGAGCACAATCTTTTTTTCCCCCAAAAAACTGTGCTTGAAAATGTTCAAGAAATCCTCAAGTTATCAACTTAACAGTGTTCAGTGCCATAAACCTCTCCCAAAAATTCCAGTGCTTTGTTAAAGTACTTGTCCGATATAGTTTAATATTCACTCTGGTTCCTCCTATCTGTCAATTTTATTCTCCAAACCGTTGCAGCCTTCTCCTTCAGAGGGATTACAGTTTCCTGAGAGACATCAATGTTTGGCACCCCTTCGTCCTCATCGGAGTTTATTCCTCCACGCTGTCTGCTGCCATGAGCAACCTCATCGGGGCCTCACGCGTCCTCTACGCCATGGCAAAGGATGACTTGTTTGGTAGGTGGCTCTATGTTTTTTTGTTTTTTTTTCCAAGGGACGCAAAATCTCGACTGAAACCATCGTTACTGACATTTCAGTGTTTAAAATATGCCAGGAACACAGATGTGATTTGTTATATGAAAATGCCACTGACAACAGAGAAAACATTGGTGTCTGTTTCATAGCAGTGCTGGCTGCCAGACAATCAACTGTATACCTACAGCTGCAGAGAAATAAACACTCTTTAAAAATCTTAAGATGATATCATTTAATCCTGACTGTAAAATTTATATTGCTTATAATAATAGCAGCAAGGCGATAAGATGGATTTATAGTTGATGCAGGTGAAATAATCATCAATATCATCAGCTTTAATAACTAGAGCCATAATTACCCTTTCAGATGGAGTATTTTTAAAGCCTTATATAATCTGTTATTTTCATAGTATTTGTTAAAAATATTTAAAAAAAAAAAGTATTTTATATATCCTGATTTCTTTTTTTGCATATTTGCCACCAGTTTCAGATCATCAAAAAAAGTCATATTAGATAACTTGAGTAAATTAAAAGATGTAGTTTTTAATGATGACTTCATGTATTAAGTGGAAAAAAACTATAGAAACCCAATTGGCCCTTTGAAGAAAAAAACAATCATCAGTCATGAATGAAGTGTGATTAACCATAGTGTTTTGAAAGCAGAGTTGTTTCACTAACCACACTCAAGCCTAATTACTGCCAGAAAATCATTTAAATAAAACCTGTGTGACAAAAAGAATTTGAATAAAAACACATCATGACACGATCTAACGAAACAGCTGAGAAACACAGTCGTCGATCATTCCCAAAAGATGTTCGATGAGTGTGTTACAAAGACATTCCTAAGGATAGGTACTCCAGCGAGTACCAAAAATGAACACAAGGGCTCGTCTCATATTAGGCAAAAACATCTTGTTGATCCTCAGTGCTATGATGACATGGAACTATTTGGAAGGTTTGAGTCCTGTTACATCTGACATAAAACTAACACAACATTTCATAGAAAGAACATCACACTAGCACTCACACCTTAGTTGGTAGTGTGATGGTCTTGGACTGTTTTGCTGCTTTAGGACCCTACTTATGAAACTGTGAGTTCTGCTCTCTGCCAGAAAATCAGGAAGGGGACAAATACTTTTGGCAGCACTGTAGTTCGTGTTAGAACATAAGGTTCAGGAGACTTTTTTTTTTTTTATTCCTTCTTGATATATTTTTTTCCAATTTAAATGAGTTTACTCATATTTTCCTCTAATATGTATTCCTATTCTGTGGAATATTCTTAACACGTTCACATTCACCTGCCCCAAGTGGAGAGGTTTAAGTATCACGGGTTCTTGTTCATGAGTGACGGGAGAAGGGAGATCGACAGATGGATTGGTGCTGTGGTCTCAGTGATGCGGATACTGTACCGACCGGTCTGTTGTGTAGAAGTGAAGCTGTCAATTTACCGGTCAGTCTACGTCCCTGCCCTCACCTATGGTCACGAGCTGTGGGTAGTGACCGAAAGAACAAGATCGCGGATACAAGTGGCAGAAATTAGCTTCCTCCGAAGGGTGGCTGGCCTCTCCCTTAGAGATGGGGTGAGAAGTTCAGCCACCTGGGAGAGGCTCAGAGTAGAGCCGCTGCTCCTCCACATCGAAAGGAGCCAGTTGAGGTGGTTTGGGCATCTGACAAGGATGCCTCCTAGGTGAGGAGACAGTGCTATGTGAGATGCCTCCTCACCTCCGGTGTTCCAGGCACCTGCTCCTCCAGCGGAAGGAGGCACCGGGGCAGACCCAGGACACGCTGGAGAGATTGTATCTCTTGGCTGGTCTGGCCCCTGGGTATTCCTGAAAGCATTAAATTTACTCCTACAGCAGGGGGGTATCAGTGTGGTCCTCTACATGAGGCTCATCTGGTAGATGCCCGTGGATTTATTGTTAACACGTTCACATTAGGCTCAAGACAAATCAGACCCACAGATTACAATGTTAGAACTGCTTACTGCCTTGAAAGTATAAGAAAAAGTCTTTGGTTATTTAAGTTATTGTAGAGCTGTGGTCACTCTAATCTTTTGAGCTGATTGTAACCTACAGCAAATACTTTAACTCAGTGTCATCTGACAAAATTATACACCTTTGTTAAACATGATAGCTGTGTGGTAGTGACTCAAAGTTAGAAGCAACGCAACGTCTGCCAGTCTTTTCTGCTAGGTTGTTATTTGAGGAAAAAGTTGCTAAAGAAATAAGAAAAGTAACTAAATGTTGAACTAAGTTTGCAACAGTGATGTAAACTGAAGCTCTGATCTCAGTCACACAAGATGTGACAGTTTCTATACAAAATTTGAAAAAAAAAAGTGTGCTCTGTAATCGGCAGGCTTGTGTCTGATTTTTATATCTGCATCATCATCTGACAAAGACATCACACACATAATGTTATGTATACAGAGATCAATGGGAGAGAATGTTAGAAACAAAGTTGTTACTTTGTTCTCATGTACACCTCCAGAGAGTGAACAGTGGGAGCAAGTGATCTGTTACAGAGCAGTGCTGACTATAGATTACATAGTGTTGGAGTCAAATTGTTAAATGTTGTCATTGTGTTACTTAAATTTGTAAGTCTTAGTTCAAGCATGATTAAAGACATTCCTTTGTCTCTGACCACCTCTCCAACCAGTTTGTTGGTAAATGTATTTTTATAGCGCTTTACTATAGTGCCTAAGGACCTCAAAGCACTTTACACATTCAGTCATCCACCCATTCACGCACACATTCACACACTGGTGATGGCAAGCTACATTGTAGCCACAGCTACCCTGGGGCGCACTGACAGAGGCGAGGCTGCCGAACCCTGGCACCGGCGGGCCCTCTGACCACCACCAGTAGGCAACGGGTGAAGTGTCTTGCCCAAGGACACAACGACTGAGACTGTCCAAGCCGGGGCTCGAACCAGCAACCTTCCGATTACAAGCCGAACTCCCAACTCTTGATCGTGGCTCAAGAGTTGGGAGGCTGCAGTGTTTTATCATAGGCACATCCTATCTGAAGGTTCTGTTTTCTTGGTTAGTAAGCTTCCTGCTTTTATGACCCTTTTGGTGAGCAGGAGGTCACACAAACGCACCCCCAAACACAAACACACTCACATGCATACACACACACATACACACACATACAGATGCTCGCACATACATACACACATAGTACCTTATCTTTTGTAACCATAGGGGGGGTTTACAATGGGAGGTGCTTGTGTGTACTGTAACTGTTTTCAATAAAAGGCGGCAAGGAAGGCTTTTTATTTGATGCTGGCTAGGAGACAGGTGAGGAGCGTTCAGCTCCAAGAGCCTGGTTCCGACCAGTCTCCCTTGCTAGCAAGTAAAAGCTGTTCGTCTTGTTTCCTTGCTTGTCATTAACGGGAATACGTTTCTAAACCAGCGGGGCCTGTGGAAGCGCAGACCCAACACATAGCTGTGTTTACATTTTCACATTTAAAAAAAGAGTGCGTAACAGAATTGTAAAGTATGTGATCATCTAGAGTTTGTTGTATCATCAAAAGATTCAGGTATCTGAAGAAATCTCTGTGTGCAAGGGATAAGGCTGTGATCTTCAGGCCTTCAGGCAGCTCAACCGTCATGATAGTGTCATGGAAATCAGTGAATGAACCCATTTTCTGGGATCATAGTTCACCATACCATCCACAAATGCCTGTTGAAGCTCTTTGACAGTGGTCCCCAACCTTTTTTGCGCCATGGACCGTTTATGTCCAACAATATTTTCACGGACCGGTGTCGCGGATAAATACAACAAAATAAAACCAGTACCTGCACCAAAAAAATAAGATTTATTCATAACACATGGGAAAAGAGCCAGGGAAACCGAGTTAACGATAAAAACGATTTAAAAAAATAACGCTAAAAACCGATAAAAATCCTGAAAACCTTAAATTTCACACCCGAGCCTCAACTCTCGTGGTACCAAATGACTCACGGACCGATACCGGTCCGTGGCTCGGGGGTTGGGGACTGCTGCTCTTTGATACAAAGTAGTCATATTTCAACATGATGCAGAAACACTGCTATCTTCTCTGAGCCAAAGTTAATTTAAAATGAACTGCGGAAAACTGTTCTGTGGTCAGATGAAGCAGAATTTTAAATTCTCTCTAAGAAAATTGGATTCTTCATCATCCGAACTAAAAAGGAAAGGGACCAGCTGGTTTGTTATCAGTAAAGCCTGCATCTCTGGTATGGAGATGTATCAGTGCCTGTGGAATTGGCAGCTTGCATATCTGGAAAGGCTCCATCAATACTTAGAGGTATACACAGGTTTTAGAGCAACTTATACTCCCTTCGAACAGTGAAGGCCTTGCATGTTTTAGCAAGACAAAGTTAAACCACATAGTGCATCTTTTACAACAGCATGGCTTTGTAGTAGAACAGTGCAGCTGCCTGCCTGCAGTCCAGACCTTTCACCAGCGAAACAGAAAAGAAAACACAGAAACAAAGAAAATATGACCCAGGCAGCTAGAACCCTCTATCAGATCAGAATGGGACAACACTCGTCTTCCCAATCAGGATGTTCACAGGCTGTTGTTTAAAGCAGATGGGATGCTACACAGTGTAAACATGGAGCTGTCCCAACGTTTTTTTTTCGCACTGCCAGAAAGTTTCAAAATGAGCAACATGAAATAGTAAAAAGACTCAGCGTAAACATTTGATATACTTGTGTGTTTTATTGTGAATAAAATGTGTTTTTGAGATTTTCAAATTACTGCTTCCTGTTTCTTATTAAAATTTTACACAGATTAAAAGACAAACACTTTGTTTGTACCTTCACCGTGACAGGAAATCCAAAAAGCAGTCCTAATATCCAGCAGAAACTTTTTGTCATGTGTGTAGGTCCATGTGTAGGCGGCTGGTGTATTTCAGGGATCAGTGGTGCTTATTTCTTTTCTTAAAAAAAAAAAAAAACTGTGAAAAAACTGAACACAAACCCTCTGAGTCAAAGCCATTCCCATATCAAGCGAGTGCAGCGTTTGTGTGATTTCAATCACTTCTCTGTGTGAGTCGACGCTGCCTGCTGCTTTGTCGTTATTAATGACTCTGAGCAACTTCCTTATCCCGTCCTCTCCTTTTTTTGTTAAGTCTGTTGCAAATGGATTTGGCCCGTTTCTGTCTGTGTGTATAGCCGCACTTCTGTGCGTGTGTGTGTCAGGGGAGATAAATGGCCGTATTAGTCAGAGTTCCTCGATGAAGTGATCTGATGGAGCAGAGGCAGACGACTCTGGTACGAGTCTGTTCACTCACTGACACCCAAAGGGTTAACTTAAGTTAGATTAATGTCTTTAATTAAGAGTCAGTGACTGTGGAACCATAAATGTGTAGTGTGTGTGTGTGTGTGTGTGTGTAAAAGGGACAGTAGGATCATGACGTGTGTGTTGTTCTGGTTGTTGTCACTCATGCATGCTGCTCACTGCTTAACCTTGCCACTGTCCTATGCAAACTAAGTGATGGATGCGTCAATTTTTCCCAACACACACACACACACACACACACACACACACAATCACCCTCAAAAGAAGTTCTTTGTTTTTCCTCCCTCTCCCACACCTCTTCCATTTCTTTCTCCTCTCTAACTTGCTAATCTCTAACTCCTTCACCTCTGCCCTGCCTCTCTTCATCCTTTCCATCTCCCTGCTCTGCCGCATTGATTTGACTTTAAAGTCGCGCTGATTTAATTCCAGTCCTTTACCATCTGTGAAATTTACTCTTAAACTCAGATCCCCCTCGACCGCCCGCCTCGTCCCTGCACCTCCTGTCTCTCCACCGTGTGAGCCTCGTTATCGTCTCCATAGTCTTTCACCAGCCTTACCTCTGTTGTGCTCAGCCACAACAGGGTTCAAAGCAAATACCATCATCGCCACACGATGAAATGTCGTGCAAGCTATGAGATGTATGTAAATGTATGTAAATATCTTTCAATAGACCATACAGGCCTGTAAGGTATTAAATAGAGTGACGCGTCGTTTGTCTCCCTCGCTGTCGCCTGCCCACTCGCTTTCCCTCTCTCTCGCTCTCCCTTTTCAAAGCAGACATTTAGTTAATTACATAAATTTTGTGCAAATGTCAGTAACGGTAGAAAATACCATCCCCAGTGAAAATCAGATCTGTTCTGTGCACTTTACCATCATCGGTTATTATTTATATCTGTTGCTCTTGAAAATAAAATAAAAAATGGAAAGAAAGCAGTAACAGAACCTCGCGAGTCGGAGCGGGATTGGCTGTCGCTTCCAGGAGGAGTTTGTTTTTTAAATCTCATACTGTGTTAATATCTCCCTACTTGAGTGTAATGTTCAGAATTTAAAGAGTGACAAATTAGATCGTCAAAGGGACTTGGATGTACTTTCAGTAATGCATACCAGCAAAATCTTGTTTATGGTCATTGCCTCGACTGTTGCACATGCAGACTGCGACAGCCGCACCTCCATTTCAATGTACTAATGGCTGCGCTACACACCCCAGGTTACGAAAAGCGAGACGTACACAACCATACAAAACGACACTAAAGCGTAGTGCACACCAGCAGTTATGACTTAGCTTTTCACGTCACTCACATTCACGAGGTCGAAAAATGGCACACATAAACTAAGCATTAGACCAAAGGCCTGCAACAGGCACAATGACTGACACCTGTGGGGTATACAGCGAAGGAAGTTCAATACAGCCAGGCTTTCTTTGGATCAGCTGCTGTGACAAAACCTGAAACCCAGTGAGGGATAATGGATATCACAACGTTGGTTATCAGCGTTTTCGGCTATCCAAGCTTTCTATTTCTTCCTCACATGAAAAGAGTTGTTTTGTGCACCATGTGACTCTTCCACACAAAACAATCCCTGTCAGTTCTGCCTACGCCAGTCAGAGATGATGACGATGATAAAATAGTGAAGTAGAAAAACAGTGTTTTTTAAGCTGTTATTTTTACTGCAGTAGTTCTGAAAAATCAAAGCACAGATTAAAAATGATGAGTTTGCTCATTAGAAGCTGCGCATTAGTAACACAACTGAAACTATAAACTGGATATATTTAAACATCAAACGTTACTTTCATAGTCTACCAAAGGTGTGTAAATTGCTTTTTAAATTGCTTTAGTTTGTCAGCACATCAAAATAAAATTAATTATTCGACTTATTGAACAGGTCTTCTTGCTGTGTGAATGTATGTAAAACATTTATACATTTTTGCATCACTTCCATTGACAGTGTTGGGCTTCATTTGGCGGTGTTAGTAACGTGTAACTCAACAAACTGCACATGTAAACTGTATTTCCTTAGCAGAGAATCTATACTGCAGAGAATCAGTGAAAACATGAAGCTTCCTGCTGGTTTTGAACTGAAACTCAATATAAATAAAACTCTGAACAGGTTATATGTTCATAGACATACGTTACCATGGTGATTTAGCCAGTTTAAAAAAGAGGATAAATTTTTGTGACACTGAAAACTTTAAGCTCAACATAGCTTGCTAACCCAATAATCATGATTCTTAGTACACCCCAGTGCTCTGCACTTGCTATTTAACTTCCCCAGATATCGACACTGTGTCAAGCTGTGTCCCCTTTTCTGCTTCTACGAACACATTTAATAGATAACACTGTCTATTAAAACCGAGAAAGGCCATTTGTTACAATCTTTCACTGATTAAGCTGTTCTGTTGACACATGCTTTACTGATGTGAACATGGAAGACTGTTGTTACGGTGATGCTGCTGATAAATATTTTAATACTAAGATTCAAAAGGTCACTGTCTTTATTGTTTTTGTTTTTTTCTCACCTCTGCAGGTAAGGCGCTGTGGCTGGCTAAGAAGACATCTCGCAGTGGCAACCCCTGGGTCTCAGTGCTGATCTCCTGGTTCCTAGTGCAGGTTAGTAGTGATAAGCAAATCAGTATCAGCAGATAAGTGCAACTTTATATCACGTCAAGCAGTACTGCTAAATAACTGTAAGTAAATGTTTTGTAATCAGTGTGTGGGCTGAGGAGAAAAGAGTCTAATGTTAGAGTTTGTCCCGTCAGCTTCATGTTTTGTACAAATCCAAATGAGGAAACATGTTTTGAATAGCAAAATTAAAAGCAAAGGAATGCTGTGTCAAAAATAAGAGCTTCAGTGATCAAACGTCCAAACAAGACAACACTAGCCTTAGACTTGGCTTTCAATATTTCACTGAAATCAGTAACATTCTTCTACGGGAGATATAATTCTCAGTACATAAGGAAGGTAGAGAACCTTCAAACAAGCCAATATTATTTCTGTATAATTAATGCAAGGTTGGCAAGGTGGAGGGACAAAATCATCGGGAATTCCTGTTGTTTGGATTGTTCAGTGTTTTTCAAAGAAACTTTCCTCAGGCAAGAAGATCAGAAAGTCCTCTCTCCCTTCAAACTAAACTTATTCATTCACCAGTTCAGCCTGAGCAGTTTGATGTCTTTGTTTTCTATCACCGCTCAATCTGCATCCACGCACACCTGTCATAGTGCTGCTTAAATTTGTGCATTTGCATTAAACAAATGGCACCTGAAGTCAGTTATTCTGTCGACTAATGCGTTCCAAAGGCGTGCTTCTGCATCACTAAAGTCTCTTTGGTTTAATAGAGTTCAGTGAATTTTCCAAAAAAGCACAACTTACTTACTTTAAGTAGTTTTACTGTGTTGATTGGTAGGTGAGGATGCTGAAATTTCCTTTCCTTCCCCGTCTTTTATTAATAACACTTTAAAATTTTTGATAGACAAAGAGATATAAATAAATAGAGAGATAGGCAGACAGGCTGTGGGATTTGCAGAGGATAGCAGCTGGAAGGAAAATGGATCAAGATGAAGTGCGTTCACTTTTGTAACATGGTTACAGACTGCTACCACAGAGGCAGTATCTGTCAGATATCTGACAGTTTATAATGTTATTCATAATTGCTGCAGGCATTTATGTCCCTTTAGATTAAAGTGGACCCATTATGTGTTTCTTTATTTTTCTGTCATATATATTTTGTTACAATGGTGGCTGCCAAAGTTTCAAATCGGGAGGCCAGTGGATGTAGATGTAATCCCTGTGAGCCAAAAGGTCAGGCTTCAGACTTCTCACTTCATTTCTCCAATCTAGGAAGAACATCTATCCCTCCGTCTGCTCATTTTTTTGCCACTTTTCTGGATCCAGGAGCACAAGTCTAAGCAGAGAGGCAGAGAACTTTCCTCCCTCAGCTCTTCTGAGGGGGCTAGCGAAAAAGATGTAGTCCCTCCAGTGGGTCTTGGGTCTGCCCCTGGGCCTCCTCCCAGTTGGATATGCCTGAAACACCTTGCATAGGAAGGACAAAGGAGGCAACCTAGTCAAATGCCTGAACCACTCGAACCCCCTCCTTTCAGTGCGGAGGATAACGTCTCCACTCTGAGCTTCTCCCAAATGGCCGAGCTCATCGTCCTGTCTCTAAGGGAGTGGTCAGCTCATGGCCATAAGTGAGGGGAGGAATGCAGATCAACTGTTAAATGGACAGATTCACCTTCACTCTCTCTTCACCATCGCACATTGAGCCCATCTGTCGACCTGTCAATACAGCCCCCCCTCTTCACTTTCCTTTCTACTATCATTAGCATGGTGTTAGTCTTCAAACCAACAACCCACTTCACTTATAGTGTCACAGTTGTAAATAAAACACAACCACATTAGTATGTTGTAACATGCATACTTATTTCTTTATGCTGAAACATAAAAGCTATTTCAGACACAGTTACTCAGGAGACTACAATACGAAGCTGCAGCTGACAAACAGGTGGCAGGTGGTGGCTGCCGTTACATTTTGTCTTTCTTCACACTTGGACCAATCTATGACTGCATGGATGAACCTTTCTTCAGCCTGATGGGGCTCACATTGAGTCTTTGCTGTTAACTCCCACCGCAAGCACCAATATCATACCAATAGCGTGGAAGTGTGCTTTTTAGGGCTTTGTTAAGCAGATGTTTAGTTCAAGTTAATCAAGATAATCAGGTGTAAAAGGCTGTCAAATGAATTCAAAACCTTTAAGTGGAATTAACATTATACAACTTAATCCTTTCAATTCCTTTAAGCCTTCAGCTTCACAGTATAAAATACAAACTATTTAGAACTGTCCAAGAATAAAAATAGGGAGGTGGAAAACATTAAGAAGCATTTTTGACAAGCAAAATTATAACTAAACAAGAGTAACTTATCATCTAATCGATTCACTTCCCATCTGGGTTCATTACTAGCAACAACCTGGTGTGTAGGTGATTAAAGTATAGAGGCAGCGCAAACTGAACAAGACTGAACAATATCAGAGCAGCTGAATGGAAAAAACTGGCACTTTTTTCCCACTCTGACCAAAAGACAGCACATAGTGTTTTTCTCTTCTATTGTGTCACCTAAGTGGAGGAAAGAAGCCAATTTAGACCAGGAGAAAATATTGGCAGAGTAGAGGAGGGTGGGGATAGAGATGAAGAGCAGGCGGAGGATCTTAGGAGCAAATAGGCCTGACTAAACCATCATTATCAGAGGTGAGTGTTAAAGGCTGAATGGCTTGTCATTATTTGCGCCCTCTCTTTTTCTCACTCGCTGTCCCCCTCTCGTCCCCTTCTCTTCATCTCTGGCACTCTCCAGGAGCGGAGGAGGAGCAATTAGATGGAAATCGTTAGCTGCGTCGCTGCTGCTGCCATCATCAGAAATCATTGACTCCTGTCCTCTTTCTCTCTGCCTCTTCCTCCACCATTTGAATGATTCACTGATGACAAAAGTCTGATTGTAATCTTGCCTTAAACTCTCATGTGCTGCGGGATTGAAAAGGAAGGAGGAGGGAAGAGGGCGGCAGGGGCCTTGCTTTATTGGACTTCTAAGTAAAGGAGAAATGGTCGGGGAATGCAGGGAGAGAAAAGTATAAATGGTTGAAGAGAAGACTGAAGAGCATAGGGTTGGATGGTGATCTGACAATATAGGCTGCAACCCAAGAAAAATAAATGGTATGTATGTCACTTCCAAAGGACGTCAATAAACTTGGCAAAAACAAAGCAAGATGAACCGGACAAAGCCGCAACAGCCTGGCACTTCCTCCTTATGCTGGTCATCAACTTTGTCACACACTGCTGTGTGATGGCGTCCCACTCTTCAACCAGCATTTGTCATATGTCAACCAACATGGTTGTGTTGAACGCTCTGGCTATAACAGTACGCCCAAGCTGATCCATAGTTTTGATTCTACTGTCCAGCACTAATCGGGCACTGATGTGTTGTTGGGACAACTTAAATTGTTGTTGTTGGATTCAGTTCCAGCTTTCATCACTGTTGATGCTTGACTAGTCATTTTTACACTGCCGGTGATGTTTGATAATGTTTGACCGCAGTTTTAGGCTTAAGTTTTAGGCTGGTCCTACAGGCCGGGCGTTTGGTTTCAAATAATCTCAATGGAATCTAAAATCTTGTTAAGAAACGTGACAGATGTGAACATTTTTGATGACTCGTAGGCAATTCAGATGGATACAGACCTGTCGATAGCCACCAGGTGTTCTCCAGCCGGTAATCATGAATCTTGAGTTGGATATAAGAGTTGAGGGTGGCTATGTTATGGACATGGATGCAAATTTCATCTGAAATGACTGCTGATGGAATCCGTGTTAATATAAAACAGTTGTTTGGGTCTTTAACAGACGATGGGAGAAAGCAGAGCTCTGTACAACAAACATCTTTCCCCTTTGTTGGTGTAGAGGAACATTGCCTCCTTGCCTCTGTGATGTCTTTGTTTTTGATGCACAGTTTGACTGATGTCAGTTATACTTTGCTCCCTGGTTACCTTACACACAAGGAAACTCCAGAGTTTGGGACCAGTACCGGTCCAATCGTTTGACATTCTAGTCTGTATTTGAGTGTTAACGTGATAGGATCATTTTACGTTTTATAAATACTAATATAATAAATTGTACATGTCTTCATAGTCAAGTTATTTTATAACCCTCTTGAATGAAAGGTGAAAGTCTTTAATTCTTGATTGTTTTAGTTCAAATTCACTGTGGTGTTGTACCGAATTGTCTCTGTCCTAACTGATGGACCCGGCTTTCTGCATCTGAACTCAAATACACACTCTAGAATGTGCTGTATGATTGTTACCTGTAATGCTTAGCCATGTCTGGAAAAGCACAGTTCTGTAGTAAAAAGCATTACTCAGCTTTTTCCACTTTATTCTTTTTATTTAATAGAAACGTGTGTGTGAGCCCTTACACTGCAAGGACCTGTGTGGCAATTAATGCACACTGCTCTCCAGTAAAAACAGTCTTTTAAATCAGCGCATAATAGCAGGATGGTGTGTGTATGCACACACAAACGCAACTCATTCACACTCAGTTGGTGTACTGTCAGAGCGGTTGTACATGCAGGCCTGTGTCTGAGTTAATGGCTAATTAATGCTCTGGTAGAGCCAGCTCCCACGGGTGCACTGAAGAGACACCCACTGACTTTGACTGTCAGAGGTCAGCAGTGCTCCCTCACACACTTTCTCTTTTTCACTTGTCTTCCTCTCTCTTCTTTGTCTTCCCCCACTTCTCCAGCCTCACTGCTCCCTCGGTGCATCTGGTGACCTGTTCTCCCCGCCTGTCAATAATGTGACATCATTAATTTCAACTCCCTACCGTTACATTTTCTACCCCCTCTCTCTTCTTCAGTGTACATCTGCCTATGGTGGCTGCTATCTCCCCTCCACACATACCAATAATATATCCTTGAGCTCATGAATATGTTCCCCAACTCTGGAGAAGTTTCTCAGTAGCAAATCATAAAACACACAATAAAAGGAGAGAGAGAGGCGGTGTTCTGTGTTTGTACAGTACAGCAGTTACCTCCTTGGTCTGTGCAATCAGGCCCTGCAGCTCACAAACACATATAAAAACCTCACTCCATGATGATGAAACGACTGCAGGAAATGTTTCATTCGGCACAGACGAGCTAATGACGGTCTTTACCTGAAAGATTTACATGTGCTGTTCCTCCACCAAAGTGAAGGTGAGGTGCTTGAGGAACGGAAGGTAGCAGTGGGGAAGATATCCATTTCTGACAATTTAGTCGTGTTCGCGCCACAATTCAACAGAGATTGTTGCAAATGAGTGTAATTTACACACTGAATGAACAGCTAAGCTATGGTTTGCGTGATGGTGATAATGTGTTGTGAAAGTAGCACACATGTATTACTGTGACATTAGTTTTGTTCAAATGAGGGATAGTTGAGCTGAGGAGGGGGGGTGATCATGTGTGTTTATTTTTAAAGTGTAGTTTCACGTCAAATACATCTGAGATATCTGCTTGTAATATTCTCTTGGATGTGGATACAGTTGATATTTACAACCATGAAGTGCAACATAGAATAAATTAAATAAATGTCACACATTGAGTGTTATTTTATAGTTTTGATGTCTTACACGTTGTTGCAAATAATAAAATAAAGAAATGGACAAGTAGTTTCCATCTTAAGAAGTCTCTCAAAGTAGAATGGGAGCCAGAACCTGAACCATCCCGTAGCTGTGCTACTAAAGGCTCAGATTGTTTGCCCCCCTTTTCCACTCCTGTTGCTCAATGTTCACTGCCCCAGTTGGCCGTCACAGACCCTGGTTCTGCAAAAGGTTTCTTCCTATTAAAAGGGCGTTTTTCTTTCCCACTCATGCCAAGTGCTGCTAAAAGGAGATCACTTCATTTTGGAGTCTTCTTTCTAATACTGTAGAGTGCTTAGCTTGCAATATGTACTGCTGTAAGGTAGCTGTTGTTGTAAATTTTCTCTTTATAACTAAAACTGAATTTAAGTGAATAAAAAGTTTGAAGCATTTACAGAAAGAGCAGGAAACCCTCAGAATTGAGTTTTCAGTTTAGCACAGTTGTCTGTGAAGCTTTTAGCTACTTATAATTTAATAATGATTTGAATTTCTGATCTTAAACTTTGCTATCAGCATTTAGTGGCACATTCTGCAACTTGTAGTTTGAGACAAGCAAGTAAAGTGAGTATTAGTCTTATAATTGACACATTTTAATATTTACTCCTAGCAGCTCGTGGCCCAAAGTCAAGAACAACATAATTTGGTATAAAATTCAAATTGTGCTGTAGCTTTGTGCATATAACTTAGCCTTTTGCATTTCTGGTCTAAATGTAGGTTTTTCTTTTTAAATAAATTTTTGGTTAGATGCCTGAAATTATGACTGCTTTAGGCATTTTCACATTTTATTTTCCACCATTTAATAAACATGTAAATACCCCATTTTTGGCTTTTGTGTTTTAGGGAATAAGATGGCTAACAAAAGGCTAAATGAGCGTTCATAAGTTTCCCGGGATATTCTACATCATCACATCTAACACAGAGATGACCTGTGACAGTCATTCAAAAAATAATGTTTTTTTCTTTCACGGCTTAATAGTAGTGTGTTAATTCTAGGTTGATTACAGGGTACTGGTAAAACGAGGGAGAAATATATATTTAAAAGAAGATGCATATGCAGCAACAGTCTAATACTCCAGTATCCAAAATGACCATTTCTAGTCCAAACATTAAGCTATGTCATTGTGATTTATTATGCTAAGTAAACTGTTGTCAGGTGAAACAGTCGAAGCTTTTACTGTCTTTATTCGTGACTTCCCCGTCCAAACATTACTCGCAGTGAATTGCATAGAGCCTTGTTCACACATTCTGATATCAGGGAACATGGCAGGGAGCAGGGCTTATAATGAGGTCATCATTTCCCTGCTCCATTAGAAGTCAACTAGTGCACCTCTGTAAGAAAGGGTGAGTCTCATACATCTATGTGCTGTCATTATTATTAGATGTACGGCTCTCCCCCTGAATCGGCCACTGAGAATATAAAGTGCAAGCGGATGTGGCTGTTTTGTCACGTAGCTGCCATAGCTAACATAGCTGCCTGTCTGAACAGCAGGCTTGATACCATCTTAATTAAAACTCAACATTAGCCTCAGTAAGTGGCTCCCAAAGTGGAGCCAGATGACCACCTGTGGTCCTTCCAAGATCCCCAGAAAAGTGTAGAACAGTTTAGTTTAACGGTGTCTTGCTCCCTAGATGCTAGTCTAATCTATCCTTTATGTCACCTCTTTGCCACAGTGGAGCTAGATAATCATATCTCACAGCAAAAAGGTTTCTTGGGACCAAAACTCAATTATCTAGGGATCCTTGGCTTGAAAATGTATGGAACCTCTGCCCTTGTTAAGACCTCACTTTAAAGCCTCTGAGACGTTTTAGCTCCAACAATTCTCTGATTGCTGGTATTATTTTATATATTTATTTTTGGTTATTTTATATTTTTGGAAAATATCCAGCTAAGAGGCAAACAAAGCTCAGATGTATCAGAGCAGCTGACATGGCTTTAACTTCATATTTTAGATTTTTGGAAGTGAAAAGTTGTTAGGCGCTGGAAAAAAGTCATAAAAAAAAGAATTAAAATGCACTGTTCTGACTGTAGAATGTAGTATAGCTCTAAATGCTAATCTCTTCTCTGTTTGTCTTCCCCCCTTCTTTCCCTGCTTCTTTGTTTCGGTCATTCTAGCTGGTCTTGTTTTCAGGGAAGCTCAACACCATCGCCAGCATTGTGACCATTTTCTTCCTGCTGGTGTACGCTGCTGTGGACTTGGCTTGCCTCGCCCTAGAATGGGCCTCGGCACCTAATTTCAGGTACACACACGTCTGGTAATTTACACACACATGTAGACAGAGATTCTGTGCCATAATAAAAGCTTATGGCTTTCTTGCACATGTTCTCCATCACTTTTTCCTGACTCACTGAGCACACTGCGCTCCCCATTGTATTTTTTTCCCTCTGCTATTGTTTATGTATATGTGTATTTGGAGGTGGTTGTTTGCCAGCTGGATGCTGCAATAGCGACGGTGTACTAATTAAAAGACATAAAACTGGCCACTGCTTATAGCCCCATATTGGACAGGGACTGACAATAAAACTGTTTGTCTTTGTGGAGGCGCAGCCTGAACTGGATGCTCAAGCTACAGCGTGTGGAGATGCTTAGAGATGTAAATTTACAATGTTTGTGGAGTGTGTGTGTGTGTGTGTGTGTGTGTGTGTGTGTGTGTGTGTGTGTGTGTGTGTGAGAGAGAGAGAGAGAGTGTGTGTGCTCTGTTTGTATTCCTAGGATGCTTGCAGTGATTCTGATTTATAAAAGCTCCTGGAAACCATTCTCACATAACAGTAGCACAACTCTGTGTGTGTGTGTGTGTGTGTGTGTGTGTGTGTGTGTGTGTGTGTGTGTGTGTGTGTGCGTGTGCACATCCCTGTCTCAATGACATCATGACACAGCCAGGCATTTGATTCGATCTGCAACTTTTTATGACTCATTTCATATTTTCTTTGTGAGGTGTTGATGGTGTCACACGAAAAATCTCTTGGAAAATCCAATAACCTGTATTATTGTGGTTTTTTATTTTTTTATTTTAAAGATTCATACTTTCTCCGCTGGCTGTGAAATACATTTCCAATGTGTTAACTGCCACTGTTTTTATTTGTTATGGGGGAAATGGAACTGTTTAAAAACCACACATCGCTTTATTGTTGTGACAAATTGCCTCCAGCGCTGCATTTGCCGTTATATATTCCTCTGCAGTGATAGTTGGAAATGAGGCAGAAGACATGTTAGAACACTTCTGCCCATATCAAGGACACATCAGTCAAGTGAAGCCGAAATCGGGATACAGCAGCAAACGTCAAACATACTGTATGTGAGGAAAAACAAAGAGGTTGATAAGTAATTCGTGTAATATTGGATCTGGGCGCAGTGGGATTTATTCAGCTGTTCTCTGAACATTTAGGTGCACAATATGAGTGGATTAAACTGATGGCTGCATATTGGAGCTGAGCACCACAATTATACTCCTGGAGAGCAGTTTAGGCATTGAATTCGTCACTTAAGGACATTCACACAGAAAGAGAGTACTTGTAAGATGATGTTCTTCAACAACAGCTGCTTCTATTTTCGATATTGAATGGAACCATTTATTCGCAATAGAACTATTGATCGGGACTTGGTGAAGGTCGAAGATGAAGCGATGCCTAGGAAAATAACAGAGAAATATCATTAGGTGCCCCTTCAGTGAGTCTGTCTGTCCTGTGGATGAACTCCCAACTCCATTGTACTGCATTGCAATAACAGTAGCTATGCTAATTGTTGTTCTGTTTTGCAGTATTGGTTCACATGGCGTAGCAACAAATGAAGCGGGCTTTCACTTACTGAAGCTCTTGTTCGCTTGACCCTGCAGCTTGCATTAAATCTTGTATCTCTAAAGCAGCAGAGATACAATCATTGCCAGCTGTTGTCCATGATGTTGGTGTTTGAGTGTGTCCGACTACAGTACAGCATCCTCTAGGGAGACAGCTGAGCTGTAAGGATTGCCACAGACTTTATCAGGGGTATAAGCTAGCTAGAAGCTGGCTAGTTAACAAAATAATTGCATGGAGATTTTTCACAAATAAACTGATTAAAAAAATAGAACTAAAATTTTACTAAACTTTTTGCCAAATACTAATAAAAGAACTGATATGTCAGGAATCCCTCTGGTGATATTGTTTAGAGGCATGTGGCATGTTTTTTTCCAGCTTTTTCTTGCGTGCATACAATGTGTATTTACTGCAATCACAACAGAATAAGTCCATATCTATAAAATACCTAAGAATGTGTTCATAACTGCTTTGAATAGACTGATGTCCAGGCCCTTAAAGTGCAGAATTAAAAGTCTGTGTCCGTGAGAGAAAATTTTATTTGCCAGCATGTTGATGATTTTTCTGTAGGTCTCAGATAACTACAAAGAAGCAGCAGAAATATAGACAGATAGCAAGTGTCTTTAGTAACGTGTTTGACCTTAAAAATCTCAATCTGAAATCCCCATTTCTGAATATTACCTGCTGAGTCAAATGAAGTCAGTATGGCACAGAAAGGTTTTAGAAAGCTTCACGGATATAAAAGCATATTAACATGAAAAAAGGCAAGAAATCCAAACAAAGATTTTATATAAAATGTACATGAACAGAGACCCTGAGAAACAGAGACATGAAGCGAAAGAGAGACAGAAGCAGAAAAATGCAGAGAAATAACAGAAGGCTGATCTGATACTGATGAAGAAACTGTGCATCTGCTCTGTAGCTGTCTGCTCACTGAAGCTAGCTGAAGCTTCTCCTCTTAGACTTGGTAATCGCGACTTAGTAAGAACATCAGTTAAAAATGCACCTTTAATAGCTTCTTGTAAGTATCATTCAAGTTTGCTTCCCCAATATTTTAAGTTTGGCTATATTCCAGAAAAAGCTACTTCCTCTTTTTATCTCTGGAAACCGCTGCACGACCAACAGTTCAGCACTGGAGGATCTAAGCGTGTGAGTCGGTGCATAAACATGACAGACTGTCAGAAATGTAGTGTGATCTGAGGCCATTTGAGGTTTATATTCTGTAGGATACTTAGAGGTCAGTGAAACTCTGTTAAAATGGAGCTGATGTCCTCTTTATTTTGGTAATAGCCTTACTACAGAGTTCTGAATAAGCTCCAGCAAAAGCTACTGAAGCTTTGGAAATTCACTCAAAAGCATGTCTTCTATGGGGGAAAGTTTTCACTTTAAATTTTGGCAGAAATGTTTCAAAGCTGCGATTCCTTCATCGGTATTCTTCCAAATTAGCAATGGCTAACTGCCACAGGAGTGCACTGTGGACACCAGTACACACTGTATACTTTAGTGAACAACGGGTTGCTCAAAAGTGAGTGTGAGAGAATAAGTAGCTTTGAGTGTGCCACACTCAGTACCAAGTGTTTCCTCTGGTGCCCTCCATATAGAGTGCTGTGTGCTATCTGCTCATGCCTCGTTATCAATATGTGACCGCTGGCAAAGGCTACAGGACACAAAGTTAGCCTCAAAACTTTTCCCACTATCCCCTCTCTGTTGGCCGAGGGGACCAAGGCCTCCGGAGCTGATAAGATGATGTGTGTGTGTCGTCCCCCCCCCACTGTTAATTCCGTTAGTTCACTGTTGCTGTGTCACTGGGCAAATTTGAACGCCAGTTGTTTATGTGTTTATTCGTTCAATTTTTTTTTTGTCTTTCTCTGTGCTGTCTCTCTCTGTGCTCTCTGTCTGGCTCTCTCCCACATCTCTTTCCAGGCGAAAAGAATTAAAAGCCATTTAGTGCTGTCTCTCCCCCTGAGAACTACTGTGTAATTAGCATAACTAATTTAGCAGAAATATTTCCCTTTCCCTTAAATTTGCTGTTGCGTAGGGGAGGGAAGGGGGCTGCAATTATGATGTAGCGGAAAAGATGCCTGCTTGTTAAGTGTGT